CTTCCGCTTCGATCGATCTTGTATTCATTCCATTATACATGGCTAACTACGATCGCAGGTTTATACTCTCCTCGGGCACAAACTCCACAAGGCCGTGGATTTCATTTCGTTCTCAAGCAGGCCTGCAGTGTGATTCCAAACAGCATTCTCAAACTTCTCAATTTGCATTTCAAAGTAACGCCTATCAACGTTTCCCGAAACTTTTACTTGTTTTCATTGGGTTCTTTAAAACAGACTAAATCCATTGTTTCTTGCGCAACTGAAGTAAGGCATAAGAAACTGTTAGGAAAGTTCGGTGGAATAAAGTGGAAAATAATTATAGTACATCGGTCTGCATAAACAAGATTCGATTTAGCTCACAAACAAGCCCAGCTCATGAGCAAAAAATGTTTAACTCTCACTTTTTATTCTATAGAATTTCGGACTGATGTAGTCTACTCTACCTCAACTAAATATTAATGTACGTATAATTACTGAGTTTATGATTTCACGCATGCGTATGTGCGCTGTGCTATTGATACGATTTGTAAGCAAAATTCACACACACACACAAAGAACAGTTAGGCATCTGAAGATGACTTCTCCAAAGTATCAACAAGGTTAGAAATTAAAAAAAAATTCACGAATTTTAAATTAAACTTAGAAAAACTGTACAAAAATTCACGCGTTTTAAATTAAACTTAGAAAAACTGTACAAAAATTCACGCGTTTTAAATTAAACTTAGAAAAACTGTACAAAAATTCACGCGTTTTAAATTAAACTTAGAAAAACTGTACAAAAATTCACGCGTTTTAAATTAAACTTAGAAAAACTGTACAAAAATTCACGCGTTTTAAATTAAACTTAGAAAAACTGTACAAAAATTCACGCGTTTTAAATTAAACTTAGAAAAACTGTACAAAAATTCACGCGTTTTAAATTAAACTTAGAAAAACTGTACAAAAATTCACGCGTTTTATAACACCTCCGAAAACGGAGGAAAACAGTAATTTAAATATTAACTTATTATAAAAATCCAAGAAACGGCGAAGTCCTGTCTATTCGGCTTACGTTAAAACGCTGGCAGCAATGAAAGGAAAACTATACAATTAAAAGGTCCAACATTTACAGGTTTTCTTCAGCTGTCGATGTTAACAACCAAAGTCGTTTCCTTCCTTTCGTGAATTTAAGTTTCATTGCCGAAAACGTGAAACACAATAGAAAGAAAAAACCAATAACACAAAACAATTTCAAATTACACATTTCTATAAGATTTTCATTTTGTCACTTTTGCAGTTAACCCAAATAATCCCTGTGTGTGTTTAAGGGCGTTTATCAAGGGTGGTGTGAGAATATTATCAGATAACAAAACGGGCTTTAGTTTACGTCCATTTGACCAGAACTATACTTAATAGCAGAGGATTAAATTCTCTCGAGAATAACATGGCTGAGGATATAAACCACTAGATGGAACTTATTTGCGACCACCGACAAATAATTCAGAGAACAAAACACACTAAAACTTTTTTGTGGATGTTGCAAAGAAACTATAAACTGGAGAGAAAAAACAAGATAACTTGTATCAAGTCTGCTTCATCAGCCCGGAATTGTCTGCGACTGGAGAGTTTATCCCAGCGCAAATTGTTTTGTTTACTTCACTTCAAGGATGGAGACCACTATCAGCACAAAGACGGGCGTTGACGGGATAATATTAAAATTAGTCCTAACGATATATGAGATTTAACTGGCAGGCTGTCTTGGACACGTAAATAAACTTTCAAGTTCTAGAGAAGGCGAAAGATTTCATAAACAGCCGAGTTACTGTTAGATTCTCAAGAAGGATTTCTTTCGAAGATGGCTGTCTTCTGGGTCATTGCCCCGTGTAGTCTGGTAGAAGTTTGCCGACGTTTCAGAGGTCCTTGCTAAAATTCACGCGTTTTATAACACCTCCGAAAACGGAGGAAAACAGTAATTTAAATATTAACTTATTATAAAAATCCAAGAAACGGCGAAGTCCTGTCTATTCGGCTTACGTTAAAACGCTGGCAGCAATGAAAGGAAAACTATACAATTAAAAGGTCCAACATTTACAGGTTTTCTTCAGCTGTCGATGTTAACAACCAAAGTCGTTTCCTTCCTTTCGTGAATTTAAGTTTCATTGCCGAAAACGTGAAACACAATAGAAAGAAAAAACCAATAACACAAAACAATTTCAAATTACACATTTCTATAAGATTTTCATTTTGTCACTTTTGCAGTTAACCCAAATAATCCCTGTGTGTGTTTAAGGGCGTTTATCAAGGGTGGTGTGAGAATATTATCAGATAACAAAACGGGCTTTAGTTTACGTCCATTTGACCAGAACTATACTTAATAGCAGAGGATTAAATTCTCTCGAGAATAACATGGCTGAGGATATAAACCACTAGATGGAACTTATTTGCGACCACCGACAAATAATTCAGAGAACAAAACACACTAAAACTTTTTTGTGGATGTTGCAAAGAAACTATAAACTGGAGAGAAAAAACAAGATAACTTGTATCAAGTCTGCTTCATCAGCCCGGAATTGTCTGCGACTGGAGAGTTTATCCCAGCGCAAATTGTTTTGTTTACTTCACTTCAAGGATGGAGACCACTATCAGCACAAAGACGGGCGTTGACGGGATAATATTAAAATTAGTCCTAACGATATATGAGATTTAACTGGCAGGCTGTCTTGGACACGTAAATAAACTTTCAAGTTCTAGAGAAGGCGAAAGATTTCATAAACAGCCGAGTTACTGTTAGATTCTCAAGAAGGATTTCTTTCGAAGATGGCTGTCTTCTGGGTCATTGCCCCGTGTAGTCTGGTAGAAGTTTGCCGACGTTTCAGAGGTCCTTGCTGCTCCCTTCATCAGGGCGATGATCATCGTAGCAAGGACCTCTGAAACGTCGGCAAGACCTCCTACAAGGGCTTGTTTACAGAGAATTGGTTAGTGAGGCTCATTTAGTACGCAGAAGATTAATTCTTGTAGCTGAGTAGAAACGAAACCCTGAATACTTTTGCATGGTAGTAAATGAGCGGTTTCGTTCTTTACAAAAGCCACGGAACACCGAACTTGAACTTCAAGGACCTGATCCATAGCCAGAGAACCAGCCGTACACATTTAACGGGACCCCAGTTACCCATATTTCTAAAAACACTAGAACCGATTGCCTGGCTGTCATGAAGTCTTCTTCACAGACCACGTGCGTGAAAGTGCGTTTGCAACTGTCTGTCTGCTCAGTTCCTGTAACTTCTCAGACGACGTTTAAACTATTAACAACCGTAGATCATTTAATTCTTAGAGGCGTGTCTTAGGAGAGTTTATTTCAATCAGATTTGCAATATCAACTCATGGAATACGTCGTAACTTCTTAAAACGCGTAACTAAAGTCAGTTAATTTGACCTTTTATCAGTCACAGCTCTATAAAAAATGTACCCCGATCGACAATGACCCTGAACTAACACTCACACGGAGTAGAGCACTTCTTGTCAAGAGAGTACTAACACTCGTTCAACTAGAGAAGAAATTCACTGAAGGTTTCACGTTTCGGTTTCCTTCTGTATTCTAGTGTCGAGACATGAACACACAAAACCTTAAAATAATACATTATTAAAAATCCGAGCGATGTCACTAGTGAGTTTAAGCAATTGACATCTACATTAATTTTACGTGAGTGTACCTTCTCCTTGCGTGAAGAGTTCCAAGGCGAAGCTGAAGGGAAACGTATCATGAACGAACTTCAGGAAGGGAAATTTATTCTTCTTGCAACACGGTACAGTACGTATTATATCCGAAAATAAGACCAGAGACCAAGGAGGGATATATCACTTTTACAATATTTATGATACCACGAAGCGAAGTACAGTTTCCGAAGATCTTAAGCGGACATGCGATGCTGGAAGCGTAAGAGTTTTTAATTGATTAGCATTCCTTTGCGGTTGTCTTGTCCCTGGATGGCAGTAAAACGTTGAACACGACGTGGCGAAGGTACACAGCGAGTTCACAGGCTATCTGCGTTAGAACAATAGCACCGACAGGGGGCAGTCTAGCCCTGGGATAATAAAATTGCAGCAGGCGATAACAGTTTAAAGGAACACAAGCAACTGCTGCCAACATGCTGGAAACAAATTCCAGTTCATTCTAGGAAGCCATAACAAGTTCTTTTCAGTAATTGGTTAATTGAATTTTGTGCAGTTTCCATATTTAAACGAGTGTTAAAAAGAGTTGTAGGTTATGCTCTTATCAGGTCGTATAAGCTTCACTGCCAATAACAATTTATGAAACAAATTTTAAAATAATGTATTCGTTATAAATACACAATATGGACGCCATACGATGAACTAACGAGGAAGAGGACAGCTGTACCTTGAATAAAACAAGAAGACTCCTGGCTTAAGGGCGTCGGTCGAGTGGTCACGGATAGTCCGGCGGAGTTATATGGGCGTGTCAAATGCAGCGTAACAGAAATGCATCGCTCTCGGACGTTCATTCACGGTTTACGTGTACAGTGATCTATACACTGAAGTGCACTGATGCGATGACGTCACCTGTGGCGACTGCAGCTGTGCACTCACGATGTAGCGCGCACCTCAGGCTACAGCGGCGACACAGACCAGAACAAGTACGCGAACGTGTCTGTCTGCATGTATGCCTACGGTCATTCCGCCATCCTGGCCTCTGCTTTTGACGATTTTAGAACGTGTAAAACAAAGAGACGTGTGTATTTCTCTATCGCGACAGGCAATGTTAATGGAGATTGGTGCCTTGATATTCTGAAGTTCCTATGTACAATTACACACACCGTAGAAGGCGCATTTGATATACTGTTTTGTTCTTATAAGCACACAGCGACTTTTGAATCACTCCGTATAAACAACTTTAAATAACCACTGCCGTGTCAGATGAATCGTGAACTCCAAGGTATTTGCGTTAATATATCAAACCAAATTATCGATATAAATTCACATAATAAAGTCCGACTGACACTTACCTGCATGTATCCCATATGGCAGTGAGTGGCGTTAACGAGGGTCCCAACTTTGAACTTTTTGAATCTGATGCGAAGAATCCAATCGCGTGGGGTACCACGGAAGGACCTGAAGCGATACCAACACGTCATCGGCTTTCCTATGTTCTCTGGCGTCACTTCCGGGCTGGAGACATCTTCGTAGATGTCGACCGTCTTGTTGCAGTGGTCTCGCTTCGCTTCCGCTGTGAAACAAACGATGCACGTCTTAGTTTGTGCGCACAGCCTATAAAATCACGACTAGCATCCAACACAATTAGTTAGTACGGGTAAATCTCGTTATACGCGGGGGTTGCGTTCCTGCGAATCGCTGAGTATAAAACGCGTGAAAAGGGAAACGTGTAACATTAGCAATTTCGATCTTTAACTCAAGTAAGAATTCTTTGGCGCTAAGCCTATCATTTGCATCATATTCCCTGATAAGACTGGAGAAGATTTTTAATATAAATCCTTCAAAAAGTCGAGTGCTTTAATACCTTTAAAATGATGCAGTAATTTTTCAACCAGATGTATACATAACTGTACTAAACGTGTTATTATTTACAGTCTCAATGCATTTCCGTTGATTTTAATTACAGACGCCATAATTCCATACAAAACACTTAACTATATTTATTACTTACGAATGAAACATTGTAACAAGTTTTTACTACAAAATGAATTGTTTTTTCGACCATTTCAAACAATTTTACAGTCTGTCCAGTAAAGAATATGAAATTAGGAGAATATATGGGTTAAAATATGTACTGAATATTTATCAGTTTCGATATAACCCGCTGTATAAATACAGCGCTCGATAATAAAATCTGCAACACATTCAATCTAACCAAGCTTATTACATTTGAAGATTCATACACTACCTGATGACTCTTCAAGCTTTTCTCACGTGACAGTCCTAATAATTGAATAACTGCAGTTTCGCATCGCATCATGAGAGCCAGTAGGTTGGGGATCAAGATATTTATATGAATTTTGTACATTGTGCAGTCTTGTAGGTGGTTAACAAATGTTTCGGACAAAAGTATCGAATCCATCTTCAGGAATATGAAGGTGGAATCTATACTTCCTCCTGTACGTTTGTGACCACCTATATGACACAGAATATCACTGTGAAAACCTAAACCTCATTCAAGACATCAGAATGAATGTTCAGATTCGCCATTGGCAACAGGTGTTTTGTATGGGCGTGAAACTCAGTCATTCACACAAGAACACAGACGAAGAGCGACGGACAACAAAGCGCTGTATAGAACAGGCGTTTCTGAATACGAGAAACAGGAACGAACAGATGGATAGGAAATAATGCGCAATGAGGAGCAACACAATTTGCAAACTCCACCAAATATTAACAAGGATTACAGGGAGGATGGGATGAACGAACATGAAGGGGATACAAAAGACGCATACAAAATTCTAGTCAAAAACGTGAAGGGAATAGACTACCATAATGACAAGGAATAGATGGAAGGATTAAAATAAAATAAATATTAATAAACTGGGCAAGAATTGCACTAAACTGGGTCAGGACTGGGTGCAGCGGAGGAATCTCTTCAATACGACAATGGAATATCGGGCCTCATGGTACAGCTACTATAATGTACGAAAAGCAAAGAAATAATATAACAAATAGCTTTACGAACACGGCTCTTAGAAGAATAAACAAACTTTCATTCAGAAATCTAAAAATGTAAGTTTGATTAGTTATCACTCACAATGCGAGGCGTTCGAAGTGTTTTTCTTTCATTTAAAGCAGCTCCTTAACATTAATCAGTATGAGAGATTATAATATTAATGTAGAACGAAATACGAGGCGCGTCCTCAAAGTAAGTTTCCCACTCGTCCCACAGCTAGCAAACCTTATATTGCGCGAAGCGACTGTGCGTACGTGATAGAGCAATGACGTAGCATGGCGCATGCACTAACGGCACCTCCCGCGTTCTCACAGTAGCATCGTTGCAGCTGTTGAAGATGGAGGTTCTTATTCCAGCCCCCGCCGACTGTGAAGTGCGGTCAGTGATAACGCTAGGCCGCACACGGCTCAACGGACAGCGAGTCTCCTGCAGGAGTTCAGCTGGGAGGTGTTTAATCATCCACCCTACAGCCCGGACCTCGCTCCCAGTGATTTCCATCTTTTCCTACACCTCAAGAAATTCCTGTCCGGTCAGCGTCAGCGTCAGCGTTTTGAGAATGACAGAGAGGCGGAGATGGTGGTCACACAGTGGTTCCAATCCCAGGCGGCAGACTTCTACGACACAGGTATTAAAAGTTGGTCCCACGGTATGACAAATGTCTCAATTCCGGTGGCGAATATGTTGAAAAATAGCTGGACACTTGCTGTATCTGTTGCAATAAATATTTCCATGAAATTGTGTTTTGTTTCTGTAAACGGCCCCAGGGAAACTTACTTTGAGGACGCGCCTCGTATATTTGAACAGATCTGTGGAACTAAAATAGGCATGTAAATAGAAACCAGCCACAAGCAAACGACAGTAACATCTACCAGAGTAACAACCAAGAATGTGGACAAGACTGGCCTTGACGAAAACAGTAAAATGAGTGTCCTATGAGCGGTAGCAAATACTGCGTGAGCGATCATGAACGTGATGGAGGTCTTAGGGAAGACACGACAGCAGTTTAATAATAAAGAGAACTAAAGTGGGTAAAATATTGGAAAGAATGCCTGAAAACCAAGTCTCGTAGCTGATCTGTTTATATAAATAAATATAAATTAAAAGAATGTTAGGGACGTCCTATAAATATACGTAAGGAACAATTTCAATTCTCGAAATCGGAACGGAACCAAGTGTTAACAATTATGTTAATGGTAACAGTTAACAGTCTGGGACACTGTGCAGTTTATGGAGAAGATTCCGTAAACAAATAATAAGAAATTTCGTCAAGTGCACATAAAGCAGTGAACGATGTCAGGGGAAAGACGAGTTGCCACAAACAATACAGAAAAAAGTATCCAGTACTGGACAAGTTCCGATCTGTGAGCCTACATCGGAGGATCTGTAAACTAATTCTCGCAGATTACAGGTTACAGAGCCTCGTGGGAACACAGAAGAAAATCAGGAAAATTATAACAAACGAAACGACATCTGGGCTTCATTCATGAACGCGCAGAACGAGACAGGGCCATTACTCATGAGCTACCGGCAGCGTTTTTAAAATAGAGGGAGAATTTTTTTTAGAGGGGTTTCTTTGTGTGTGTAGGGGGTTGGGACTCGGGTGGAGGGCGGCTCCTGGTGGCTAGCTGAGTCTGGTACAGAGCTATGGCGCAGATCAATATGGGAAGACACAAACATAGGCTGTTCTTTTCACCACGCTTACCAACACACTCTCCGGAGAACACACACAAAAAAGTGTACGACAGAAAGGGACGAGAACAAATTACTGAACTAAGTTAGCTTCTCTTTGAGCAAAAACAAAAGAACAATTTTTTGTTAGCTAAGGATGATGAAATAAAATCTTGACCGCGGCGGGGAAAATAAAGATAGAACAGTATTAACCAGAGAGCTGTATCACACCACTACAAGTTTTGTATAGATCTGTTGCAAGAGAAAAGTTTGTCTTACTTAACATGTAAATTATAGAGGTATATGGGTCTTGCGACAGCTCCTAGTACTTGTGTGTTCATACGGAACAAATCTGAAGGATTATCGCTTGCATCTGCGAGACTGGGCAAAAAGCAAAATCACTGTAAAGAACTAGGGACGAATTCGTATAAGTGACAGACGAAAAAGGACAGAACACAAAAAAGTCAAGAAAATAATCTTGAATTTAAACCTACAGTTCCCTGTTAATACGCCACATACATACGAAGTGCATAATCAGGGTCAGACACGTAGCAAACATTGAAAGATTGGGAGATGCAAACTGCGCTTTAGTCGACAACCTTATTTTATATTATTTATTTATTTAGTGTTCCGTCTGACGACAGGTCCATATGAACAGGATCCTTCCATCCTTTTCTCGGACTGGGACCTGTTCATATACGTTCTTGGCAGATGATCCAGAAGTGGTTTGCCATTGCCTTCTTCTGTGTGTGAATGGAGTAATTGTCGGGATGCCACGGAGAAGGTCACCATCGGCGCCTTGTAAAGTTAAAAATTCCTCCGTGCTCAAAGAAGCTCCAAGCCATCAAGAAGTAAGATGCAAAGACGTTATAGCTCCACGCATTCCAATGTTCATCACTAGATGGTGATAAGTCGTCAGCTTCACGTTCAGGCTAATTTACCGTACAGGGAAGTGGACAGCAAGAGTCTCCGTCCTATATTCGGTCTGGGCACAGTGACGAAGTGTTCAAGTCCCTTCTGGGAACTGAACTACAGTCACTCAATTCAAAGACGCTTCCAAATTCGTAATGGAAAGGCACTCTTCAAAGTAAATTTACGCATACCACACAATAAAACTGTTGGAATAATATGAAGCACCTCACTGGAGCGATGACTTCTTCAGCTTAAAAGTGAAGCGTGTAGTCTAAACAGAACTTTGAAGGCGATTCCACCGTTCGATGCGGGAAAGAGCTATGCAGCTCACCATTAGAGGAGAATAGTACAGAAGTATGGTGATATCTGCGCTCGACATGCAGCTACTGTAGGGGAAACAAAGAATGCCTTCAGATATTTCGAGGGGAATATTTTGGGAATGTGTAATTGCAAAAACCGAGAACGGTAACGGAGGATACCGTTAAGAAACTGTCTTAAGGAGAGGAACTGTGAGTGTGGAAAGAGAACAGAACTGGCTCGGACAATGCACAAATTCAGGACCCCCGGTGCACGAACGATCTGGTGATCAACCGCCACACAGAAGACCGAGCCTCTCGGCTTTCGGGCTCGGCGACTGGCGTGCGTACCTCAGGTGAAGGCCGGCTTTATGCACTCAGTCACGTACAGGCTTGCACGTTCACAGCCTAGGCATCGCGTCGAAGTGAGAGAGCAATGCTCCTGTGGCAGGGACACAACAGCAGCGAGGTAATGAGATATTAATTATTCAGTCTGACGTCGGTGCTGGGTGCCGTACCTTCACTGGCGTTTCACAGCCATGCAACCCTGTTTACGCTCGTAACAAACCAATGCATCTACCCAGCCCATTCATAAATCGATTTACAACACACCTGCGTATCCAACAAATCCGTCCATCATTTCATCTTTTATTTGTCCGGCCATCGCAAGTCACGGTT